ATGGACAAGGCCTCTTCTTCGGCCATCAGCTGGATCGGACAATCAGAATCTGCAAACGGAAAGCATCGCTTTCCTAGCTGTTGCGCGTTCTTTGGGTAAAGACCGTTCATTAACGAATTATCGTTTTATTGCGCGTTTTTTGCATCTATGCTATGCAGAAACGCGTATTGTCGAGGGGTTGTCTGTGTGTGTATGTGTGTGTGTGCGTGTACCGATTTTTCATCTCGAGATTTACAATGAAACCTCGGGAACTTAAACTACACGCACGTATGGGTCCCCATATCTAGTATGAATTAGCGACTTACCCGCCAAAAACTTCGATAAGCCCATACGTGAAAACCACACGTGGTTTTCACGTATGGGCTTATCGAAGTTTTTGGCGGGTAAGTCGCTAACTCGGGAACCGGGAAAGCTGGGAATTTAAGAATAGACTTTCAGACAGTCCTGGCGGCCTGTTTTCAGTTCTTTTAGCTGGATGATTTTCCGAAAAAAAACAGTGCCGTTAGCGACAAAAACCCGTGGAGAACTATGCAAAAAACGCATCTTCGAATCGGCATTCAGTGCGCTGGCCAATTATTTTATGGTGTTATTTTAGTTTGGGGCATTTTCACTGGATCGAAGCGCCTGATATCCCTTCCACCGAAGCCGCATTGCCCAGTGATCAGCCTGGTCAGCCTGCCAGTTATTCTGGCTTCCCCATCTTTTTCCCTTCCGCTTTCGTATTTATAGATGCAATTGGTAGATATTGCCAGTGTATTCTGCTGCACAAGGAATCTTTCTTATCTTACGAGATTCATATTTGCAAATTTTTTGCGTATAATGTTAATCTGCAATGGGATTTTTATTTAATGGGATTGTTGGGTTGGGGCGTTAGAGGTCTCGTTTGCTGGCCCAGTGCTCCGGCGCATCTTCGGATCGTTAGCTGGGTCGTCAATTCCTTGGCGATGATTCGGGCTAGGAAGGTCCGTGTCCTTCGTTGGTCGTCAGGGCCGTCAGCACAACACAATACAACGCAGCGACCTTATTTAGGCAGCTTCGCGCCATTATGCATATTCTAACTGGGAGGAAGTCATGATGCAACAGTAACTTTTGTATTCTGCCAAAATCCTGATTTTGCAGGAGATTTTTGGTCGTACAATAAAGAAACTCAGCAGTTCATTGTAAGCCCTGAACCGGACGTTAACGTAGTGGATCTGACGGACAAACAATTGTGTTTGATACTTGGCTCAGACGGAGTGAGCACTGTGATGAGAAACAATCAGTTGGTTCAGATCGTGAGAACTTATGAAAAACTGGGACCCAGCAAAGTAATCATTTCGTTTGTTTACAGGATAAAACGGTAGTAGGCTAACTTGTAGATAAATTACAG